GGGCAAAATAGCAGTAAATGCGGAGAAATGGTTAAATTCATGTGTTTATGTGGTTGCTAGGGTAATGTAAATGGTTGCTAGGGTGTTCTGAGTGGTTGCTTGGTGGTTGCTAAGGTGTTGCTAGGTGGTTGCTAGGGTGTCCTGAGTGGTTGCTAGGTGGTTGCTAAGGCGTTGCTAGGCGGTTGCTAGGGTGTTCTGAGTGGTTGCTAGGTGGTTGCTAAGGTGTTGCTAGGTGGTTGCTAGGGTGTCCTGAGTGGTTGCTAAGGTGTTGCTAGGCGGTTGCTAGGGTGTCCTAAGTGGTTGCTAAGGTGTTGCTAGGCGGTTGCTAGGGTGTCCTGAGTGGTTGCTAGGTGGTTGCTAAGGTGTTGCTAAGGTGTTCTAAGTGGTTGCTAGGCGGTTGCTAGGGTGTTCTGAGTGGTTGCTAGGTGGTTGCTAAGGTGTTGCTAGGCGGTTGCTAAGGTGTCCTAAGTGGTTGCTAGGTGGTTGCTAATTCGTTGCTAGGCGGTTGCTAGGGTGTTCTGAGTGGTTTCTAGGTGGTTGCTAAGGTGTTGCTAGGTGGTTGCTAGGGTGTCCTGAGTGGTTGCTAAGGTGTTGCTAGGCGGTTGTTAGGGTGTCCTAAGTGGTTGCTAAGGTGTTGCTAGGCGGTTGCTAGGGTGTCCTGAGTGGTTGCTAGGTGGTTGCTAAGGTGTTGCTAGGTGGTTGCTAAGGTGTTCTAAGTGGTTGCTAGGCGGTTGCTAGGGTGTTCTGAGTGGTTGCTAGGTGGTTGCTAAGGTGTTGCTAGGCGGTTGCTAAGGTGTCCTAAGTGGTTGCTAGGTGGTTGCTAAGGTGTTGCTAGGTGGTTGCTGGGGTATTCCGAGTGGTTGCTAAGGCGTTGCTAGGTGGTTGCTAGGGTGTCCTGCGTGGTCGCTAGGCCCTTACTAAGGCGTTACTAGGCGGTTGCTAGGTGGTTGCTAGGGTAATTTGGGTGGTTGCTAGGCAGTTGCTAGGGTACCCTGGGTGGTTACTAGGCAAGCCTCACATACATGCCTGATGAAATATTTATACTTAGTAAGCATTTCTAGCAAGTTACAGTACTTGGCTAGTCAATATTAGCATGTAGCTAGTCGCTGCTAGCATGTGTAGCATACAGGAAGTTCCATTTGCTAGCATGAGTCAAACGAGCCAATCCCCAAGTGTCTACGATGTTCTGATGCTGAGATATAGCTGTTGATGAATGGTTGCTAGGGTACTCTGTTTTGTTGCTATGGGCGAGGTTACAGAGTGAACTTGAATGTGGTTGGCTGTCTAAGTCAAAAGAACCAACACCCATGTCTCTATGACACTGCTATGCAAAGATATGCATGTAGGCCTATTTTAATGGCAGTCTATGGAATCAATTTGGGGGCGTGGCTTGTGAGCTTCATTATCATATTGAAATGCTCATTGGTTGTTTGAGTCAGATGAGCCATCCCCCAAGTCAATAGGACACTGCTAAGCAAAGATATGCATGTAGGCCAGTTATAATGGCAGTCTATGGGACCAGTTTGGGGGCGTGGCTTGTGAGATTCATTATCATATTGAGATGCTCATTGGTTGTCTGAGTCAGATGAGCCATCCCCCAAGCCAATAGGACACTGCTAAGCAAAGATATGCATGTAGGCCAGTTATAATGGCAGTCTATGGGACCAGTTTGGGGGCGTGGCTTGTGAGCTTCATTATCATATTGAAAAGCTCATTGGTTGTCTGAGTCAGATGAGCCATCCCCCAAGTCAATAGGACACTGCTAAGCAAAGATATGCATGTAGGCCAGTTATAATGGCAGTCTATGGGACCAGTTTGGGGGCGTGGCTTGTGAGCTTCATTATCATATTGAAAAGCTCATTGGTTGTCTGAGTCAGATGAGCCATCCCACAAGTCAATAGGACACTGCTAAGCAAAGATATGCATCCAGCCATATTATAATAGAAGTCAATGGGATCAGTTTGGGGGCGTGGCTTGTGAGCTTCATTATCATAAAGTGATGCTGATTGGTTGTCTGAGTCAAATGAGCCCACCCCCATGTCTCTATGACACTCCTATGTGATGTTATAGATGTGTGACCTTTATAATGGAAGTCAATGGGATGTGCAATGGGACGTCCCACCCCATGTTAAGTCAATGGGGCAGTTATTAAGGGTCTTCAAATGGTTTGGGGGGGCGTGGCTTGTAAGCTTCAAAATCATATTGAGATGCTGATTGGTTGCCTGAGACAAATAAGCCAACCCCCAAGTCAGTATGACACTGCCATGTACTGTGATTGATATATGACATTTATAATGGGAGTCAATGTAATGAATGGGAGTCAAAGGGCAATGTAAAGTCAATGGGGACCACTTTGGGACGTCCTAGAGCCCCAGGGGTGCAACCTATACCCCCTTTCGGGGTATGTTCTCACTTAGGCTGCAACCCCCTACAGATGTTGTGAATCCCATATTTCTATGAAATTCACAATGGACGCAGTGATTGGTTAAAGTTCGGCTACATGTAAAGTCAATGGAGACTTTGGGACGTCCTAGCTCCCCAGGGGTACAACATTTACCGCCTTTCGGGGTGTGGTTTGAAGCCTCCTATAACCCTCTCGAGATGTCGCGAATCCCATGTCTGTACGATATTCACTGTTGGCGCTACGGCGATTTCCGGGAATAGTATCTACGAGTGTCTAGAAAATGAATGGGAGTCAATGGGCCAATGTAAGTCAATGGGGACCACTTTGGGACGTCCTAGAGCCCCAGGAGTGCAACTTATAACCCCTTGCGGGGTATGTTCTCACTTAGGCTGCAACCCCCTACAGATGCTGTGAATCCCATATTTCTATGAAATTCACACTCGGCGCTGTGATTCGTCAAAGTTCGGCTCAATGTTAAGTCTATGGGATTTTTGGGGGGGGTTTTTTGGCCCCTGCGGGGCCAAAAAAAACCCCACCCCTTATAAAAGTCATAGCACACCATTCCCGATAAGGCCGCACGATTTGAGCCCACTTTCAAGGGTCTGGGACGAAAGCTGCGGGACTAGTTACGCGCCGAAAAATAGGACGGAAGAAGGAAGAAGAAGAAGAAGAAGAAGAAGAAGGAAGAAGAATAATAAACCACAATAGTAAGAATGGACTTTGCCTAAGGCAAACCCCATTAATAATGCTGTCGCAGACATTTCTATTGAGTCTAAAGCAAGAATGAGTGCACTGTTATAAAAGTTGACTCATCTAATATTTGTATTGCTTCATTCACACTAGCAGCGACTTTGTAGCTGTGTGTCGCTCTGGCTGGCGACCTCATGCAAACGCAGGTCTGTGTAGGTCTACAGCACGGAGAACACACCTGACCTCTGCAGCAGCTGAGAGACGATCATGTGAGCTCTACTGGCGCTCCTATTGGCTGTCACCCAAGAAAGATGCTCTTCATTTGCATAAGGTTAAAGGATTCTCTTTGCCGCATTGGTCGACACGCCCACCTGATCGCAAACGATCGATGTCACTCGTGTAGATGGAGGTCGCCAGGAGTCGTTCACCCTAATAAATGTCGCTCATAGTGTGAATGAGGCTTAAGTTGAGTCAAGGTTTTACAGTGTAAAAACGGGATAGTTTGCCCAAAAATAAAAACTTCTGTTGAGCACAAAATAAGACAACACCCCTGATGTCAGGACAGCGTGCTGAAACACTGACTGGATTGGCTGGAATCTTGCTTCTGATATGGTTATCTTGTTTGTTTTTCTCCACCAGGCCGATGGTGCAGGGGAAGGAGTCGTTTTCTCTCCTCTCCACATCAGAGAAGTGGCTCTTCAAAGGGGTGAGTTCACTATATCTGTTATTGGTGGTCCTGAATAAGCTAACGTTTAGTTAATTAGTAACAACGAACAGCACATCTGTTAAAGATGTCAAAGTGTCTGGTGTGCCTAGAGTGTGTATGTGAAGTTTCAGCTCAAACTACCACACACATCATTTATTATAACTCTTATATGAATTCATTAAGCCCCCCCCCCCGTGCAGGCTTTAGTCGTAATTGTGCTGTTTTGGTGACTGTCGCTTTAAATTCAAATGAGAATTTTCTAAAGAAGGCGGGGCTACCAACACCTGTGCATCAGCATAGCGGCAGATTCTACACAGGAGTGGCCTTATCTCTGAGAAAACTGAACATGTCAGAAGAAGTGTGAGAATGCATCAGCCGCCCAAAATGCAGCTCTTTGATTTTGATTTATTGTTTAAATATTCTCCAAATGATGTTGAACAGATTGAGCAAATGTTCACAGTGTGTCTGATAATGTTTGTTCTTCTGGAGAAAGTCTGATTTGTTTTATTTGGGCTAGAATAAAAGCAGTTTTTAATAGTTTAAACAGCATTTTAAGCTCAATATTATTCGCCCCTTTAAGCTATATTTGTTTTGGATAGTCTACAGAACAAACCATCGTTATACAATAACTTGCCTTATTACTGCAACAGGAAACGCTTAAAGGAAGAAAGCTCACCTCAGGGAAGTGTGTCTACTGGGCTTTTTCTGACTTGTTTTCTGTTGTTAACTGTTTTCTACACTAGAAAAAAATATTCAGAAATGATTCCTTGGATTTACTCAGTTTTTTTATGTTAGGTGGCTGTAAACAATTTATTTGGGCTGAATTTAAACAAACAAACAAATGAAGCAGAATTTTATTAAATTTAATTAGTTTGTTTAAATTCAACGCAAATAAATAGTTAGCCGACATCATTTTGTTTTCGTGTACACAACTACATACAGTATACTGCGGTATTATACAGCTCCAAACAGTAAATTAAATGTCTCGCAATGCAATTTTAGGTGGTGAGTTACGTATAATATAGCAAACATTTTGAACACAAATCATATTGAACTTTGAGATGTTTTGAATAATTGAGATGTTCAGTGTTTTTGCACAATTATCCCACTTTAATTCTTTTTATTATAAGTACACTCTAAAAAATATTGCTTTGACCAAACAAAAAAAAAATAATGCAACAGTTTGCATTGATATATTCAAGTTACAACAACAACATCTAACAAAATGTTAGTTCAGACAACACATTTTATTGGGTTAGCCAAATGACCTTTTCAACCAGAGGCATTTTCTGTAGCATAAACGCCATTTTTTAAGTCGAGTACTCAAACATTTTAGTTTTTTAATTAAAATGTAAAACAAATCCAGTGTTGTGTAGTTAATTACAGCAACAAAAAAAACAAAAACATTTAGAACCTGGAATAAATGAAGTAGCTGAAATTGTTTAGTGTTTTTGTTTGTTTTCAGATTTACTGTTTATTTAGTTGCTTGTAAGAAATACATTACAGCAACATTTGTGTTTTCCAGTAGTTTATTATTTTTGTTGTAAACCACAGATTTTCATTGTTTTACAAAACAAAAAACATGTGCTGTCCTATATAAACAGCATGACAAATAACAAAACCATCAGTGTGTGGGCATAAAAATACAAAACAACTCCATTAGTGTGGAAAAATTGAGTTATCCACCCAGTTTTTTGGGTTGTCACAAGTTAAATATTGTTTGAAAGTAAGTGACAGATGCATTTACCTTTGAATTAGCCGCATTTTTAAGTTGATGTAATTATCAATATTTTCCTGTTTTGAAAACTTAATAAAATTATTCTGCCAACTTAAAAGTTTTGATCCATTTAATCCAATTTAGAATTTTTAAGTTACAACAATGTATTAAACTATGTAGTGGTAACAGACCTCTGTTGAAGACAACAGTAAATGAGCAGGTGTTTGTATTGTGTGTCAGGTATTTATATTTTCCCTGTTTATTTCTGCTTTTGAATTGCATTATGAGACCTTGATCTTTCCTCTAACCACTTTTAACATTGAAAAATGGACTTTCTCAAAGTGTTTGTGATGCAGTGTGCGGTGCTCTGTTGTGTGTGTTGGTGTTTTACATCACGCTACATTAACCTTGTAAGAAACTGCAGCACATTTACTGCTATTTTAGGCTTATTCCTCTATACATTACATATTTATATTATGTTCAAGCTCCCATAATGCAATTCACATCCATGAATAAACAGAAAACAGATATTTAATTATGACACACACACAATTAAAATCAGCTCTGCTATTCAGGCTAATATAGCGCTTTAATCCCCCATTCTCCAGCAGCACTGGAAAACATGATGAGGACTGTGTAACAGTGATTGTGTGCTGTAACAGGATGCTGTTCCTCTCGCTGAAGGGCTCTTTGACGCCACCGGCCTCAGACAAACACAAGCAGAGATGTGGACTGAAAGCTCGGGCCCGATATAGCACTGACACACTTCCTCCAGAACATCCTGTTTGCTGCGCTCTTGTGTACTCACACCCTCACATACACACATGGCTGAGGACTAGACAGGTGACCGCGGTCCACGGTGGGAGATCGGAAAGCTCTTTTCGGGGTTGTTGTGGGTTTGAGGAACACCGCTGTGAAGCTCAATGATGGGGTGCTGCCTGTTCATCCAGCAGAAGGTGAGCAAACACCTCAATCCTGTAGAATAATGGATGTGGACGGCGTTCCTCACGTCGCTTGGTCTTGAGTTTGAGTTTGGTCGTAATTTCTCTGAGTGCAGGCAAATTAAGCACGGTCTGATGTTCTCCTAAACTGTAGAGGAGACTAGGGGGAATGATATACAGCTGAGGTCAGTGTTATTCGCCCCCTGTTTATGTTGTAGCTTTGACTGTAGTTTTGAGGATTACTTTCATGAACAAGATTATATTTTGCACCAATTATGACTTATCAGTGTGTGTAGTTTGTAATGAATACATCTGTCTCACCTGTCTGTCTACATTTGAACAACTAATCAGGGCTGCGTTTCCCAAACGACGGCGTAACTCGCGGCTGAACTGTCATAGTGTGAGGCATGGTTTGGGAAAAGAGCGATGCAGTGACGAGTGTTTCCCAAAAGCCCTAGTCTTATCAGCACAGCCGCGTGTCAGAACAATAAAGGAAGACGCTTCAATCCCGGTTTGTGGACGTTAAACCAGGTTTATTCTGTACATTACCATAACCGATATGCACACAGCAGTGGAGATTATCCTGTATCCTGGCACAGACGCGGGCCAAAACAGTGCAAAGCTAAACTGTGTGTGTGTGTGTGTGTGTGTGTTTGTGTGTGTGTTTGTGTGTGTGTTTGTTTGTGTTTGTGTGTGTGTGTGTGTGTGTTTGTGTGTGTGTGTGTGTGTTTGTGTGTGTGTTTGTTTGTGTTTGTGTGTGTGTGTTTGTGTGTGTGTTTGTGTGTGTGTGTTTGTGTGTGTGTTTGTTTGTGTTTGTGTGTGTGTTTGTGTGTCTTTGTGTATGTTTGTGTGTGTGTTTGTTTGTGTGTGTGTGTGTGTTTGTGTGTGTGTGTTTGTGTGTGTGTTTGTGTGTGTGTTTGTTTGTGTTTGTGTGTGTGTGTGTGTGTGTGTGTGTGTGTTTGTGTGTGTGTTTATTTGTGTTTGTGTGTGTGCTTGTGTGTCTTTGTGTATGTTTGTGTGTGTGTTTGTTTGTGTGTGTGTGTGTGTGTTTGTGTGTGTGTGTGTGTGTGTGTGTGTGTGTGTGTGTGTGTGTGTGTTTGTGTGTGTGTGTGTGTGTTTGTGTGTGTGTTTGTTTGTGTTTGTGTGTGTGTGTGTGGGGGGGGGGGGGGGGTTAGGGGGAGGTAGGATGGAGCGATCACAAGCTAAAGGTGGGGGGGTGGAGTGATCACAAACTGAGGGGACGGGGGGCGTCGGTGGAACGAGGAAGCGATCACAAATTGAGGAGCGGGGACGGGGGGCGGGGTGGAGTGACAACGCGGGGAAGCCTTCACAAACTGAGGAGCGATCACAAACCAGCAGCGAGAGCGTCAAAGTAACCGGAAGTCATTTATTTTCAATGAGAACCGGCGGCGAGGAGCAGCGCGGCGCATCTTCTCTGGTGTGGACGTCGAGGAGAGTTGAAATCAAGTCAACTTTATGGTAATGAGCTATGATGCGGTTCGGCGGCAACCAATCAGAATGACGTAGTCCATCGCTTTAGAGCAGTTCAGAGAACACAGACCTGTGAACTTTGGTTCCGACCACAGTTGTTCCCAGGGGTCTGATTATTGCGGTTGCCGGATTTTCAAATCGCCACCTGCGGGCCCGTCCCCTACGCCACTGGTGACTCACGGTTGCGTCTCCACAACAAATGCGTCCAACACTCACTGGTAAAGATCTTAGTGTTTCTCACAGACGCTATGTGAGATCTGCTTCCTGAGGCAGCCGAGGGTGGCGATTGAGGGATTGCTGCTGATTGGCATGTGGGAACGGTGGGCGGGGAGGACTAGCCTTAAAGGCGCAGTACAAAATAAACAGCAACAATCTTTTAGATTGACACTTCAGTGAGCTATAATTAATATTATAGCACTCTGATGAGTGTTCTGAGCTGAATCTCTACAGACACATTCTGGAGACACAAAACACTGATCCTAAATCTGGAAAGCGGGGTAGAACAGGTGCCCTATAAGAGTTTGACATGAATTTCAGCATGATTACTGTTAGTCTGTGTGTTATCGTGTGATCGTCATCTTTGATGAACATCTCTGTCCAACATGAAACGTGTGTGTTTGGTGGTAATGAAGCAGTCTGAAGGCTGATTATTGTTTGTGTTTTACAGAAGAAGAGGAAGCAGAGGAAGAGAGATGTGGATTCACTCAGTCTGTGCAGCCTGGACATCAACGTGAGTCTCATTAATGACATGATGTGTGTGTGATGACAGAACCTGCAACCTCATGGCTTTAGTAAAGAGTTGAACAGAATCTGATGGTAAAAATGGCTCTTAAATGTGTTAAAGTTGCTGAATTAACCCATGAAAACATCTTCATTTGGGACACGTTTAATTATTAACTCTGAATAACAAAAGATTTGACTAAACCAGCGAACTTAGATGTGATTTTGGTGTTCTTTAGATATTTTCCAGCATGATTACCGACAGCTATTAGGATCATAACACTGAACTGAAATCTGGTGTTACTGTGACTCTTCAGCTTCTGCTATTCTCTATGATATCAGCATTATTTACTGCCTTTATGAGAAGATGAATCTGCTGAAATGGAAAGCACTGATCACCAAAGCTCTTCGTGCTGCATGTGCGAACAGGAAAATGAGCTTGTTAAAGGTCAGTCTTCAGCCTGCGTCTCACTTCCTAATGAAAGCCCTGTAATTGCCAGGTATTAATAGAAGTGTACGATCGCCTGCTTTCGCTCTTGTGCTGCAGAATAGCTGTATTCCTCACGGGCAGGAGCTCTGCTGAATGTCACTGTAAATGTTCGGACAGCACACATCTATATATATATATATAAATATATATATATATAACCAGAATTATTTATGTAAAACAGGACTATTTGATTGAGTGCAGTGTTGACAGTACAGCTCCAGCATCATATGAAACGCCCCATGGTTGACAAGCTGTTTAAAGTAACACAAATGCACTATACCGACCTAGATTGAGAGGTGATTACTGCAAAACTGACATTTAGGGCACCCTTTGAAGGGCACTCAGTAAAGTTGAACCCTTTGAACAAACCTCTGACACCCGGCTGTGCCCTACTTTCTCAAAAACATTCCAATAATCCCGTCCCAATCCCTGATTCCCTCCGGCCCACCAGCCTCTGTAGGACTTGGCTCATTTGAGATGTGTTGCTCCTGCACGTTTTCTCTGTGATCTATTTTTCTGCACAGTGGTCCATCAGCAACATGCCGCAGGAAATTAGGCTCTTCCACCTGTTGCTATTAAAGCCATGTCCACATGGAGAGAGCATGCTGTCTGCTGTCTGCTGTCTGCTGGGGGCTTTTGAACGTGCGTTAGATGAATGGTGTGGATGGACAGGCTGCTTTCATCTGATCAACAGAGCTGAGGGCAACATTATTAGCCCTCCTGCAATATTTATTGTTTTTTGTATGATATTAATAACATTTCTCAAGTGATATTTAACAGATTAAGGACATTTTCATGTATTATCAGCCCCCATGAGCAATCTTGTGTTGTTGTTGTTGTTGTTGTTGTCTAAACTCTTATGTTTAGAAATGGGGTAAGATATTTCTCCATTAAGCAGAAATTGGGGAAAAAAAACTATTAGCTGAAGGGGTACTAATTCTGTCTTCTAGTTGCTGATTTGATGATGAAGTGTCTCTATGAAAGGTGAAGGCCTCTAGATTCTGCTGATTTGAGCTCAATAAATCTGATCATGTCTTGATGTTGACTGATTTGATGAGGACAGTGCGCTCTGACTCTGCTCAGACTAAAGTCTCATCACTGAACAGAAATAATGTCCAGTATAGAATATAAAGTCCTGCTGCAGTGGAGACAGAATGAAGATTGTGTCTGACTCCATCATGAGCTTGGAGGACTGCATCCATACATCTCTGACATGACTCACATCACTGATTAATAAAGTCATCTGGAATGAAGAAGAAAGCTTCAGCAGGATCCCAGAGTTCATCTTTGTGTTCATCTTCAACACCTCCTCCTTCATCAGCTCAATAATGTTGATGTCTGGTGACTGGGCTGGCCAATCCTGGAGCACTCTCTGCTTTCAGGAGCTTTGATGTGGAGGCTGAAGTATGAGAAGGAGCGCTATCCTGCTGGAGAATTGTCTCTCTCCTGTGGATCCTGCAGATCTCTCGCACGCCCCCATACTGAATGATCCCCAAACCATGATGTCTCCTTCACCAAACTTGACTGATTTCTATGAGAATCTTGTGTCCATGCCGGTTCCAGTCTTCTGCAGTATTGGTGATGATTGGGATGCAGATCAACAGATGATTCTTAAATCTACCTTCTGTCACGTCATGTTAGTATTTGTTGCTCTTATAACTATGATCAACAGCAAGACTTTTGTCAGGTAGTGTAAATATCTTGTCATATAGCAGATCTATCTATATATATCTTTTCAAAATACTGAGGTTGGGTTTAGGGAGGTGGTGGGAGGGTCAGTTGCTGCTTTTTTAATACTATTGGTTGGATTTAGGAAAGGGAGAGTGTGGAGTCTGTCGACAGCGTCCTCTGGTGGTGAGAACAGCAGGTGCAAATGGAGAAATTTGAGATCTGAAAAAGCAAACACAGCAGCCCCTGGCGGATTCGCAAAAGCAAAAACTGCAAACTAACACACCTCCTGGGATATATTTTGCTCTCTCCAGAAACGTACACAGGGGTACATAATCAGAATGAGCCTGGCTGGTTTAATGCTCACCCTGTCGAATAGTATTCCCCGGTACTCCCCAGCCCTGTGTGCATTTATACACACTCTGTGGCTCCATCAGGATTGTCATTAGCTGATCTGCCAGGAATGGAGCGCAGAGGATTGTGGGATATCAAAGGCTGTGAAGGATGCATGTGTCCCTCAAACAATATCAGATGAAGGTTTCTCAGGAGACGGAAAGGGAAGGTCAGGATTTGCTCGTGTCTTGATGCCTTCCTAACTGGGAATGTGTCCTCTGAAGACTGCATTTTGCAGCTTTCAGACACAGATAGCGCTCTTCAGTCATGACTAACAAACAAATGGGTGACGTAGTGGCGCAGTAGAAGCTCTCAGGTTTGAGCCTTGGCTGGGTCAGTGTGTGTTTCTGTGTGAAGTTTGCATGTTCTCCCCATGTTGACGTGGGTTTCCTCTGTGATCTCCGGTTTCCCCCACAGTCCAAACACATGCGCTATAGGGGAATTGAGTTGGCTAAATTGTCTGGTGTGAATGAGTGTGTATGGATGTTTCCCAGTGATGGGTTGCAGCTGGAAGGGCATCCGCTGCGTGAAACATGCGGGATAAGTTGGCGGTTCATTCTGCTGTGGCTACCCGGGATTAATAAAGGGACTAAGCCCAAAAGAAAATGAATGAATAATGAATAAATGATGGCTGTTGCAGCGCTGCATTTTCTGTTCTATATAGGCCAGATATAGATTTTAACCCCATTAGTGGTGTTCAGAGGTCAGACGGTGGCCGTGGGGGTGTGGGGGTATTGGAGTGACACCTTGTTGAGTGATCGTCAAAGGCGACTGTTTGTGAACCGTCTGTATTTTGGCTGCAGTTCATCGAGTGGTTGCTGCACCTCCCCACGCCTGATAGGCACACAATCACAGGAACCTCTCGACCGGGACACAACAAAAGCTGTCAAACCGGGCCTTATTTCCTGCTGGCCGCTGCTCACTGACACAGGAGCAACCCTGCAGACTGACACTTGTGCACTGAATGCTGCAACAGGCTAATGCATTTAAATATATATATAATCATATTTTTTCAATATGTATTTATATTTATTTATTGAATATTTTAGAACAATATACACTGTAGAAATATCCAAACATTTGCAGTTTTTCATATTTTGTGATTCATGTTTTTTAGTCTTTCCCTGTTTATTCATGTTTTAAATTGCATTATGGAAAGCTTTTAACCTTTAAAGTTTGAAAAGTGACCTTTATTAAAATTTTTAATAGTTTAAAGTGATATTTTGTCTGAGTTGATGTTGCTCACTGTAAAAAAATTCCTTCACGTTGTCCCAACACAAAGTGATGATGTTAACCTAAAGGTGCTGTCTGTAAGTTTGACACCCAGTGGTTGAACTAGGTATTGCAATCCTGGATCAAAACACACGCAAGTGCAGGTTGCCAGATTGATGACCAACAGGAGTGAGCCTGACTATCGAGCCTAAAGGCTGATTTACATTGTGTTCTATATAAAAGCAACAAGTTTTGTTCTAACCAACAGCTGAGTTATATTTTAGAAACAGCTTCCATTTCTTACACCTGAACAACAGGATAGACTGACAATGATCAGCTCAGCTACAGCTCATGGGCTTTATTTAGTGTTAAATACTAATAATGTGAGTTTGATTGGCATTTTATTTATCAGCACACTACTGACAACAGCAGCAGCAGCAGATCAGCTCAGATCTGGAGAATAGAATAAAGCGTCTGAAACTGAATTCAGAACTGAGACTCAGAGCAAACCAACACATGTCAGTGATCCAGCATCTACATTTACTCATGTTCAAGGCAATGATGTTGAAGGTGCATTTACAATATTGATGTCTTGAAAATATTTAGTTGCTTTATTTTCCAGTGTTGCATTTATTTACTTACTAGTGGTGTACTGGTTTCTGTTTATTTATTGATGATTTTTATATACACCATTTCTTTGTTTGTTTGTTTGTTTGTTTGTTTAATTAAAGTATGTTAATCAAAGTATTTAAGTATGTATTTTCAAATAGTTTTCTTAGTTTGATATTATAATACGTGTCTACTAAATCACTAAATATATAAGTAGACTGTATTTGCATCAATTTATCGTTTAAATATACATTTATCACGCTGAGTTCTGTTAATGATCTAGTTCTTATTCAGAGTTCAGTTGACAGTAAGGAAGGCACAGATACATTCACAGTGGTTACCTGATCTCGGGCCAGTGGTTCTCTCCGTGCGCGTTCACGCTGCGCGCTCCCGCGTTCTCTCTCCAGCAGCGCTTTTCGCTCCGCAGTCTCACAGACGGCGCTCGAGGATGCAGCTCTAGACCGCGGAGCAGGTTGGGATCGCGGGCGAATTTCCTTCCCTCCTCGCTACAGAGCAGCGTCAGTATGGTTGCGAAGGACTACCCGATATACTTGCTCATTAAACTAGCGAACTGCAGCGTGGACGAGTCGAGCAGCTGCGGCCGTGGGGTAGGGAGAGAGCTGGAGGTGAGCACTTAT